TTGTATATGTATGCATCCTATAGCACCGCTGAAAATAAATTAGGGATCTTTAGCAAACCATGACGGCGAAGGAAACGAGGACGTGATAAAAACAAAAGATCTGTGTAAAAACAAAAGAACTGTGTACATTTGTGAGCCGTCCTTAGCAAAATAAGAACGGAAATGATCAAAATTTGCGTGGTCTGAGAAATGAAACCCCGACGGTAAATAATGTTAGTTTCCATTTGGAACTCAACGCCGCTCTCATATGTTATGCTGCGGTTAACTTGTGGCGCTGAAACAGATAGTAAACACATCTAGTCATTCGCGAGATTCCAACTAAAAACATATATTTCTTTTTAAATCGACGTCTTCCTTGGCGTTGCCGTCCTAACTGCTGAAGGTCTCTATCACAGCTAGGGCGCAGTTTTCCACGCCTTGTTTTTCTGAGTTTAGTTTTGAGGAAAGGATTTAAAGGCTATCCTATAGGAAGCAATAACTACGAACCGCTAGATAGATCCGCCTTTTCTGTAAATCAATGTAGTCGTTGTTTCTAAGAATACAAGGAAGTTGGACGCATACTGAGTAGTTGTGTTGTATTTCTTTTTCGCCAAGCGAAACTGTCCCCGTAGCCAATGATTGCAAGGTTATTTTTGTTGGATAACTGTTTGGTCTTGAACACATACTCTTTTTCGGACTTTTTTGTGGACAGTGATGTCATAAATTTTTGACCGCTGCCGCAATCTCGCCTGATTGGTGAGAGTCAGTAGTTTTCAAGAGTCAAATCCAGACTCTCAAATCTCTTTGACTCCCCCTTAGTACCTTTCTTCTATTCCTACCGAAAGCCATGTGATCCCTTCCCCCCCCCTCCCTCTAAAAAAAGGCAACAACGACAACGACAAAAATTTTAAAAATCATCCGATCTACTTTCCCTAGGCGCCAGGTGTCTCATTTGAAACTTCTGAAGAAGGGGGACTGGGCGAGAAGGAAACCAATAATCGGAGAATGTTTTTGTTTTGTTTTTTCGTTGGGTAAATTCTGGACTGGCGACTGTGTAATTAACACGAGGGAGCAAGAGTGTGTCTCGCAAGATCTGGCGCAGGGTGCTTTGCGGTACTTTCCGACAACGTACTTTCTGTCATGGAACTTTCCTCCTTAGT